AAAAAAAAAAAAAAAGTTGCAGGAGGAAAAAAAAATGCACATTGATGAGTGCAGCGAGCTGTATGGGCACAGCTGGGTATTACCTTATAGTATGTTCATTCTACTCACTGGGGTTTATGCCTAGGGTCAGACTAGGATACATGTGTAGGTTTGTGTCAGCTGTGCTAGCTAATGGATTTATTTAGACTAATTAAGTTCATTGGCAGAACAATTGAATGGGGGGGGAGGAAGGTATGGAGGGCAACCATGGATGCCAGGGAAAAAGGGGGGGAAGGTGGGACATAGCAGAGGGTGGGGGATGGGTAATCAGGGATGGCAAGACAAAGGGCAAGGGATGCAGGACGTAAGAATTGGAAAGTTATTTGCTGAGGACATATATGTGGATGTACTTGATTGAGACAATGCACAGTGTATTTTGGATGGAAAATTCATTTGTGTGTTGTGATGGTGTAAAGTGAATTAATAAATTTTAAAAAAAAGTTTATCTTCAAAAACAAACGATTAAAAGGAATAATTTCCGTCAAAAAAAAAAAAAGGGAAATAAGAAATTACCCCCCCAGGGGTCATGGCCATGCCACAATCCCTTCTCCTTCATTCTCCTCCTAGGATCTTGGACATGCACACACATGTGCCCAGTATGATTTTCAAACCACCAGGTCCAGGAATCGAACTGCAGTTGGCCATGTGGGAGTTCAGTGATATAACTGGTATGCCATCTGCTGGTCACAATAAATTATATTTTTAATTAAGCTTTGTATTTGTTGTTTTGCCGCAGAGTATCCACACTTGTCAGAAAGAGACAGTGAGAAAAAAAAAAAAAAAAACACTGAAAAATCACCCCTTCCTCTCCCCCACCTGGGGAGGATGACCACACCACAGTCTCTTTCATTCTCTTCTTGGGATTTTGAGCATACACGCAACACGCCCCACGTGATTTTAAATCCACCAGGTCAGGGACTCAAACTGTTTGACCATGTGAGAGTCCAGTGCTGTAACTGTTACACCACCTGCTGGGCCCTTGCTAGTAGATTTTCTTTTCTAAATTTTTATTATTCAATTTGACCTGAGAGAGACAGAGAAAGCAAGCCACCACGTCTGGAACTCAAACCACAGTTGGCCATGCGGGAGTCCAGCACTGTAACTACTAAGCCACCTGAAGGCATTCTGCTAATAGCTTTTTAAAACAAACCTTTTTCCCCCTCACATCATCTTTATGACACCTTTGTAGGTCCGAGAACTGGCTTTCTTAGACCATAAAGAAAACGTCAAAGTGGGATTCTAGATTTCTTGAGCACAGAATTTCATTAAGCTTTCCTCTAGATTCAGCGGCATTTCTAGTCTATTTAGTTCAGATGATGAATTTAGAATAGTGACATTCTGCAAGTTTTCTCAGGGACAAAACAATAAGTACTTTTTTTTAATTAGATAGTTCCGTCGCAGCCCTGTCATTTCCTGATTCTAGACTGTTCTGTGTTACAGGAAAATAGT